TTATGAATCTTAGAGCATCATGATAGACAGCAGCCAACATCTGCAAGGTGCTTGCAGGATATATTTTTACAACCTAATGTTGTTTTGATAGCATGGAGCTTATCATTCTTTGTACAAGACTGATAACAGGTTAGTGAACTTGTACTTTTTTCAGCAGAGTGGCAGGAGCTTCCTTTTTGTGAGAAATCTGTGTCATTGGTGTAAGTTATCTCGTATTAACCCCTCTTTAAACTGATAAGGAGCAAAATGTCAAGTATTGGAACTGTAAAACTACCAGTATTCGTGGTAAAATACAACTAGTTCCAGCTGTGAAAGAAGGCTATTCCAAAAGAGCAGATACAAAAGGAGCACTTGGTGCTCAAGTTATTCTGTTTTTTTTAAAGTCAGTGTTATTACATGTTGATAGCAAGTTTTTTTTTTTTTTAAAACCTACCTACCAGTCTGTGTTCGTCTGTCTCTCCTTCCTGTCCTCTCAACCATCCAGTCAAAGCAGATGGCTGCTTGTCCTGAGCCTGGTTTTGCTGGAGGTTTCTTCCTTTTAAAAGGGAGTTTTTCCTTTCCACTGTTGCCACTGTGCTTGCTCAGGATGGGAGACTGCAACGAAGCCAAGATTCAACTTGTCTGCTGATTCCTTAGATAGAGAACTTTACTATTTGGCTTTTATATATGTGAATGTTTCTGTAAAGTGCCCTGAGACAACTTTGTTGTGATTTGGCGCTATATAAATAAATTAAATTGAATTGAATTGAATTGAAAAAGCAGAGTTTTACTTAATTTGTAGAATTTAAACATGTTACTGGTAAACCTATACCCACACCAGCGTTTAGCTAAAGAAAATGCTTGTTCCAAAGCACATACCTGAACAGGGAAGTCAGCATGCTGAAAATGGGCGTAGAATGGAAAATAAATCAGATTATCATCAGCAAGCAAAGAACAAAATGTCTCTCATTAAAAGTGTTACACCTTGGCGTAATAACAGTCGTAGAGAAGTAATTAATTATGGGCAATCCCAACTTTTGCACCACTTAAGCATCCACGGGGTCAAGGGCATCAGAAGCATCTGTAATGCTTTTTTTCTTCTCTGCTTTCAGGAAGGCCCAGTTAGGACATCCACATTGCTCAAGAGCCTGTCTTGTGTGGGATTTCTCCTTCTGCCTGGCTCCTGAGCTAGTGGTACAGAGGTACTGCTCTGTGGTACAGAGTCCTGATGACTCCTAATTTGTGCTCCAAAGGGTGATGGCAGTCAAACTGCAAATACTGGTCTGTGTGGGTGGGTTTGCGGTACACCTCAGTTTGCAAATGTCCTCTATCTGGTCAGATTGTGTGGATGTTGTCCAGAGAATGGAAATGGTTGTAGTCAACAATTATTTACAAAAGAGGGAGGAACATAGAGTGACCTATAAGAGTAGAGGAAGGAGTACGGAGGTCGACTACATTCTGTGTAGAAGAGGAAACCCGAGGGAGATTCAAGACTGTAAGGTTGTGGCAGGGGAGAGCATGGCTAGACAGCATTGGATGGTTGTGTGTAGAATGACTGTTGTAGTGAAGAAGAGAAAAAGTGTCAAATCAGCAAAGAAGAACAATTGGTGGATGCTAAAGAAGGAAGAATGTTGTGAGAAATTCAGAGAGGAGTTGTTAAAGGCTCTGGGTGGTAACAAACCGCTTCCAAATGACTGGGCTACTTCAGCAACAGTAATTAGAGATACAGGTAGGAAGGTACTTGGTGTGTCATCTGGACAGAGAATGGATGATAAGGAAACCCGGTGGTGGAATAGTGAAGTGCAAGTAGCTATTCAAAGAACGAGGTTAGCCAAGATGGAATATGACAGTGAGAGGACTGAAGAGAGAAGACAGGAATATAAGGAGATGCAATGTATCTCCACCAGGCCTCACCAGGCACAGGCTACCTTGTACAGGTGTACCTGATGGCTGGAGTAATTTGTTTGCTCATCAGGAAAAGCTGTTTTAAGCACATTTTCTATGGTTTTTGGATGGATTTCAATGGATTTTTAACCTTTTACCTAAAAGTTTTTTTATGTCTTGTGAGTTTTAAGCTAGTTTTTTATACCTTTTTATGAACTAACTGAGATTTTGTATAAAAGACTTTGGCCTACCACATGTGCTGAGGCCTGCTTTCAGGCTAGCTAATTTTTGTAACATCTCCTGTCGATTCACTGCAGTCTGACTTGCCCTCAACTTATATTAGTAGCGAGCCACAATCACAATACAATAGCAAAGGCTACAAAAGTATTTTTGTATTACATAAATACCTTTATGCTCTGCAAAGAAACCAGCAACAGCCAGAAGTCAGGACCGGAGAGAAGCTTTTGTTTGTGACTTATGACTGTTAAAACTCTGGTGTGGTGACACAGTTCATTTGGGGTATGGCTCCTGAAAGTTCTCCAACAAGATGTTAGGGCTGTATCTCATTTTTTGAGAAAGTTGCTGATCTGGAACGTAGAATATCTACATTATGCAAGATACAGGACACAGAGAATTATTTGGACACCATAATAATTGGCCAGACTCAGGCACCTGTGACTGCTGCACAACTAGCTGACACTGTTCCTGTCGAAGATGACAGACAACTCGCAATGAGTTCCACGCCTGCACCTGTGGTTCACAGTATAGTCAATGTAGGTCCTCCAACCATTAGTCCACCATCAGCCACCAACAACTTGGGTCCAGAGGGGGACTCCAGCCACACACACTGGCTTCAGTATGGGGCAAGACCCAAAATTCCCCCCAGCTCCACTCCTGTACAATCGGAGCATTGGGTCACAGTTGGGACTCGCCGACACAAGGTATTTGCCGGGAAACATCGTAGTGCTACTTGTCCACTCCCCCTAGAAAACCGCTTTAGCATCCTAGATTCCCACAATTTTCCTTCTCTAGCTTCAGATCACCGTCATTCTGCTCCACTACCTGTGTCATCCCCACCCCAGCTGCTACAAACAACGGCGGCCCTCTCTCGTAATAAGTCCTAGGTCAGGATGACTCGGGCAGAGTTGAACTACACACCGGCCCCAGAGCATGTCAGGGAGGGGGTAAGTGATGTGCGGGGGCCGCTCAGGGCTCTTTCACTGCAGCCACCTCATCCCTCACAGCTACTCTGCTCAGCACTACTAGAGGCTCATCCGATGGACCAACTTCCCACCACACTGCTTGTGGGAGATTCTATTATAAAGAACGTGAGGATGAGGGGAGCTCTTACACTATCTTTCCCAGGCGCCACTGTCATCGAAATATCTAATAAAATCCCGGAAATCATTAAATCACATCCACAGGCTAAAAGACTCATCATCCATGTAGGCACCAATGACATCCCCAAACAACAGTCTGAATATTTGAAAGAGGATTTTATTCATCTACTTGGCACCATTCTATAGTTTCAACTGCAAGTTTTTATCTCTGGTCCACTTCCCACTTGTGGCAGAGGAAAAGGCCGCTTTAGCAGACTTCTCAGTCTGAACACTTGGCTGTCTTCTGTTTGCATCTTCCAAAATGTAAACTTTGTTGAAAATTTTGATGTTTTCTGGGGAAGGAGACATCTTTTTGGAACTGATGGCCTCCATCTGAACAACTCAGGTACCCGTATTCTAACTGCCAATCTGGACTACAAGGTACAGCACACAACATCACCATCCATACCTGGTAACCATGTCACTATATCTGACCAGTCTGCTACTGATTGACGTCTACATGGCCCTGGCTCTTATAGTTCCTCTTGTAACTGTTGTACACATAACATTGGACCAGGCCAATCTGTTCCCAGCAACCAATTAATTTCAGTTCGGACTACATACAGGGAGCGAACCATACATAACCATATTCGTTCAGTGAACTTTAATAACATTATATCTTTAGCAAAACATTATTTATCACCCACAGCTACTGTTAACAGTTCACCTGTCACCCTCAATAAGGCTGTTTTAAATGTCCGCTCTCTTTCAAACAAATCTTTTATTATAAATGATTTGATTTCAGATTTTAAATTGGATTGTCTGTTTTTAACAGAAATTTGGTTAGGCGCAGATGCACCAGTTGTTCTTACTGAGGCCTCTCCACCTGGTTTTAATTTTTTTTTAATGCTCGAAGTGGCAGAAAATGTGGTGGCACTGCCTCAATATCTAATAATTTACTGGCTGTTAAAGAGATTTCATTTGACCAGTACCCGTCTTTTGAGCATAATGCCTTTGTTTTTAGCAGCCTGCCAATAATTTGTGT